TGTGGACGAATGTTGAAAAGAAAAGGAAAAAAAAGGGGGGGGGGGGGAGTCATAAACTCTTTCTTAGTTAACGGACATTATTTCAACTCAACATCCTGCATTTAAAAAATAGATTGCAAATCCATTTTAAACACAAATGCTAGCATTCTTTGTGATCTTCACCACTGATTTGCATCATGTGAGTAAAGCTATTTCTGGCATTCCCTGGTCACTAATCTGAATTGTGGTTGCTGTTTATAGAATCTCTGGACAATACCATTTAGCCTTCTATCTATAAAGTAGGTCAAATCCAAGTAGCAGTGATGTACAAGAGGAAGAGCGGAAGATGCGTAGATGACTTTGCTATCAAGAGACTCTTGCTATTATTGTGCAGTATTTCACTTGCATTTATCGAAGTAGTTAGTAGATAATGCGTTTATTGCAAATGTTGGTTGATATGGAAGATTTTCAGAAGGGAATACTAAAACAGTGTATGTTTCCATGTTTAAAGAGACTCTGATATATTACTTATTACGGCAAATTGATAGGGTTTCTATAAAGCCCACACCTTATGTAGTTATAGTCACTTTCGAAGTACTCTCCACTACCGAAAACAAGCACTGCATTATGGGAGAAGGTCACCTGCTCCCCCATATCCAGAAGAACCTAGATTTTGTATTTGCTGCTGAAAGAGTGGAAGGGGAGCACTGCAAAGGTAAGTAAAGGTGGTCAGAGGGCGGGCTTTAAAGATAGTGTGTTACTTTGCCCTGAATGTAGAAGGGGACATGGTCTTTAAAAAAATAAATAAATAAGTCACTATATTTGGGAAAACCATTTATAGACATAACTAATAGACATAACAGCATCACCCTATAACTCAGAAAATGCATAAGTGATGCCAATGCTTTATAGCAAAAAGTATATTGTGTTCACCAGCAAATGGATGCCTGCAACTTTACGTACAATCAATCGGGTTATATTAATCAGGCAAGGATCAATAATGAGCATTAACATGGTGAATTACTTAAACTTGCACACAGTGAAATTCCATTGTTGCTTTAAGTTACAGCATTAGGCACAAGAGCTGCTAGATGTAAACATTATCAATAGTGACCTTTAGGTAAGGGCATATACAGAAAGCTGTTCTATTGCAAGGGGCTTTTCAGTGAGACTTTATTGCTTATCTTAGCCTTTCTCAACCTCTTTATTAAAGAGGAACCCTTGACATAATGTAGAGGTATTGAGGAACCCCTGATAAAATTGATTCTGTATAAAAGTTGTGGTATATTAGCCACAACACAATAGTGGTCAGTGAGGGATGGTCCCCTTTTGTTGGTGGTACGCGGAAAGAATGTCCTGTAAGACAGGTAGTTATTGGAAAGAATGCCCATTACACTGGTGGTCAGTGTAGTGGCCCCACACATTGTGGGACAGTGGGGGTTCCCGTTCTTTACATTGGCGGTCCGTGTAGGCTTCCTATACATTGGGGGACAATAGGGAGTGTGCTCCTTTCATTGATCGTCAGTGGAAAAAATGCCCACCTTTACAGACAGCTAACATGATTACTGGTGTCAGTGGTCACTTACCTGAGAAAAGGAAGGAGAGGCTCTACTGGTTCCATTCCACTGACTCTGCCAAGTGGCATTGGGGCCACAAATATGCAGGCACCATAACTTTAATCCACCACTGTTCTAGGAACCTCTAGCAACTTCTGGGGAACCCAAGGTTCCACAGAACCCAGGTTTACCTGCCGGAGGATGGCACCATGGATGCCTATTCAGTGCATAAAGAGGCACACTTCGGTGCTGGGTTTTAAGCAATTTACACTCAGACTACTCAGTGTTCCTTTTTAACTGGCTATTGTTACAGAAAATGATTGGTGTAGCATAAAATGTATTTGAATTTAGCAATATAAAACATATAGTACATAAGGGATATGATGGCTATGTAACATTTAAAGACCTATTATATAAAATACATTTATTATTTAAAAGCAATTTTTATTATTCAGATAAAGCGCTTCAGCTACAAATTTGCACTGGAAGTTTTAAACTGATAGAGAAGAGAATGTACTTGTGTTATGTAACTCAGGAATCACTTGTTGAATGCAACAGTGCCACCTGCAGGTGAAAATGTAAACCCAACACTTTTTGTAGTTTTGGATGAGTAGGGAAGGTGTAGAACTGCAATCGGGCTTTTATTGCTGTCGGCTTCCCTGTTGGGGAGATTTACCCTCTCTATTTGACTCTAAAAGTGAAATTAACTAAAGAATTTTGAGTTGTGATAACTGTCTGGGGCTTCCCCTTAATTGGAGATATTTCCTCTTACTGTTTACTCTACAGGACAAGAAGTGAAGGTAATTCTCCTCAGTTAGACACAGATGGCAAACCTGCCCATGCTGTCTGCAGTTCGCCAAACGAGCAAGCTATTTGGCTGGTTTGCTGCCCGCTAAACTGCTGCCTGTTTGCTAGCAATCAAGGATGTGACCCAGACAGAGTCTTTGTTAGTTAGCAAACATCCAAGTGAACTGAACCTAGGCACTTTCATCACTGTTACCTAATCTATCCAAAGCAAAGAAAATGTTTTGTGCTTATATTTTAATTAAAGGCCATCTATAGGCAAACCAAAAAACTACAATTGCAGTGGGGGCATCCCACGCACTGCAAGGGTTAAGTGCTGTTTCCTTCTAGGGCCTGTAGTAAATCAGATTTACTTACCTGCTCCCCACTCCCCCAGCGGCCAGTGCTGTCATCTTCTCCCCCTCCACTCCAGCTGGTGGAATGTTTTTAAGTGTCCCCAAATCAAATGCAGGTCTCTGGACTCTGCATTAGACGTGATGACGTCAGCAGTCCTTAGACTGCCGAAAAGAACAGAGAAGAGGCTTCAGGGACCAGTGTAGCAGCCCAGAGGGAGCTGGCAGGAGCAGGGATGAGGTAAGTAAATCTGCTTTACTCCAGCCCCTAGACTGAAACCAGCACTTAGCCCTTGTGGTGCAAGGGTAGCCCCACTGCGAGGGTAGCTTTTGACTTGCTTGGAGATGGGCTATAAAAATCTAAAATGATGAGCGGGTTTCAGTTTTTTGTATTTTTTTATGTTTATAATTCTATAGTCACATAATATAATCTTATTAGGATAACTTAAAGCAACTATAGACATAGCCCGTTGAAAACTTAACTCTAGTTTAAAAAAAATTAAATCAGGTGATATAGCACAAGTCACATAATTTACCTCTAATGAAATGTATTTTATGTCCTGCTGGCTGCTGGTTACTTTGACCACTTTAGGACCACAGTGCAGATATAAACGTCGTGGTCCTAAAGTGGTTAAAACAAGATCAGCAGTAGCAGCCATGATCTTGGTATTGATTTTTTTAAGCAGGCTCCTGACTTTCACTTACAAGCAATCTGGGTTGCTGTAGAGCTGCCTGATCACCGTACTGGCCTATGATGGCGCTTCGCTACTCCCGCCATGTATCCCAGGCTCTGCTGTCCCTTATGGGTGCTCAGAACTAGCATGGCAGGTGGACTGGTGGGAATTTAGCACACATCCACTGTCTGATCTCCCCTCCAGCGAATGAACCCGGAAAGGATGACGATTCACCAACTTCCGCATTCAAACTGTCATTCCTCCGGCCTTTGTGGCCAGAGAAGATCCTGGTGAAGCACCATCTGTCCTTCATCAACTTCTGTGGGGTCCATAGGTGACATTAGGAGTCTAATAGACCCCCTGATATCCCCATTAAAAGGACCTTTCACTTCCATTATGCTATAAAGGCTTTTAAAGCTTCACCTACGGGCAATTCTGGGTACTTTAGTTTTTTCACAGTTTTTTCATTTCACAGGCACACACAGTTGTGAGGCTTGGCATGATATCTATTTACCCAATGCAACTCCATCTTTAATGGTTTACCAAGAAAATTGATATTATATTGTGTTTGTATACATTAAAATTCATTTTAGTGTATTTTTCCCTAAAAACATAAATTGCAACTAGAAGAAAAACATGTAATTGTTTTGGGGGTTCAAGCTAATTTTGTAACCAAAAATTCAGTTCTTCACGTGTTTGAAAAATGAAAAAAAAATGCTCTGGTAGCGACATTAAAAATCCTCCCATGAAGATGAATCCTACTCATAGCCATGATCTTCTGCCACCGCAAGGATTAGAAGCAGCGGCTGTGACATTGATAGATCCCCTTGTTCTTCCTCCCCTCTCATCCATTCATAAAACTAATTTAATAATGTTGACAGCGTACAAGGTGTTCTGTGGATGGACAAGAGAAGAGGAGGGGCGGCTGAAGAGTGGGATTCCCTCGTCTATTCACAGAACGCTGTGCATTTTGTGAAAATAATACAAGGAGTTTTGTGAATGAACTGAATGGACGGAGAGGTGGATCCATCACTGTCACAGCAGAATCCATTAACCCCTCCGTGACGGGAGACGTACAGTGTACGTCCTGTCACTTTGTGCCTATATGACTGGCCACATACACTGTACGTGACGAGTTAAATCAGGCTTTGTAATGCCGGTATTTGCTGATTCTCAGCATTAAACAGTCATTCATTAATGTCTCAGTATTGAGGCATTAACTAATGAAATAATTAAGCTTTTTGTAAAAGCTTCTTCCTTTCAACGGTTAAAGTCACAGCCACTACCTCTCAGCAGCATCAGATTATCACAGGTGTGTGTAGGATGCAGCTTCACTGCTGGGGGGATTTTTAAAGTAACCAGCATGACATAGGGTACACTTTATTACAGGTAAATTATGTGACTGCTATATCGCCCAAAATCTTTTTATTCACTAGAGTTCAGCTTTAGGATGGCCGTCAAACGAGGTATAGCATTAGATCTTTATTACCTGGATTGTTTCTTTGTTGTATTACCTTCATGCATTTCAAGACAAATATTGCTTTTGCATTTGATATTGATTAGTTTAATTTATAGATATATGTGATATATGCCAAGAGGAGGAAAATGCCTAAATAGAATGGCATATTTATGTTAATCATAAAACACAGTATGTAAAATATGGGAGCAATGAAGTCAAATCGAAATGTATCAATAAATGAGATGTGTGAAATGGTGTGTGTGCAATTTCTTTTTGTTCATTAAATTTATTGAGTATTTTATTTCTATTTTCAGTAAAAACACATTATACAACATGTAACAAAATAAGGCAAGGCATGAACAAAAAGTCCAATCATGGAACACGCAACATGTGCAACAATGTTGTTACAGTCGTGAGGTGATATCAATGCCCTTTGGACCAAGATAATCTCCCCAAGAGGGAGAGGGGGGGAAAAAAAAAAAAGAGACGCAGGTTCGGTTAGATAGGCATTGGTAGAGTAAATGAAGTTAACAGAACCATAGTCCGTATTCCCCTACACTTCTAAAATGATTTCACCAATATGGCACTGAACACATTTACAGAAGAGCATCATCAGAAAGCATATCCCGCATTTAACTTGCTTGCAGGTACCCAACCAGCCTTTTTATGAACCAGCAGAGTAGAACTGACCAGGTTAGACTAGTCTACTACCTGTTTTCAGCAACTCAGAGAATGTGCAAATATGGGAAGGTTAGTATTTTCATTGGAGATGTACAGCTACCTCCGACCACAGTAGTTTTGGTAAATGTTCTTTGTGTTGAGGACTGTCCAAGGAGTGTGACTGATTCCAGATTCTACCTGGATACGTTCTGCCAGCCTATTACAGTGATAGTGTTTAGATATGGATGGAGAGCAACAGATTTACAGTTCTGGTTATAGTTTCAACTTTTCAATATAGAAAAGTAGCTGGTTAACTTTTAGTCTGAATTTGTTTTCTTTACTGGGAATATGTTCCATTCTTTAGCTGTGGAACTGGAAAAATTCTGGGCACAAATATCTCAGAGTAGCACTTGGCATTTGCCTTTTTTCCAGGCAAGTAGTTACAAACATACAGGAGAATAACAGACAGGCCTTAAAATGTAAATCTGTTTTAACCCCTTCATGACTGAGCTTGTTTTTAGTTTCTGTTCGTAAATGACTGACACACTTTTGACATTTTTGCTGTGTGATTCTTCCACGTCAGTAATATACTTTCTTACAAAGTGCACCCACACATATTATATATTGTTTTTTAGAGGACAGATAGGGCTACATATTTATATCACATATGTGCGTCTAACGCCTCACTTAGGACAAATAAAATATAAAAAAAAAAAAGGAAAAAAACGTTCAAATCAAAACTGGGAAAAAAGTTTTTTTTTTATAGTATTTTTTTTACAAAACCAGCACAGCTAAAAAAATGCAATAAATACATTCATTTATTTGTCCCTTATTTTATTTTTTACATAGTTACATAGTATTTGAGGTTGAATAAAGACATTAGTCCATCAAGTCCAACCTATTAGGATCTCATTCTAGGAGTACCCGTACCCCTGTATATTACGGTCCCTTAAGAAATCGTCCAAAAAAGGCAGGCAAGTTCTGGTTAGATTGATCTTGCACCTCACCGTGCCATAAATTGCTTGGCAGAGGCAATCAGTCTCTGCTGAGTGATTATGGCATAAATCAGCACAGCCTCCCCCTAGGTAACCACTGGCTCCAGTGATCTACATAGGTGAGTTCCCAATTACAAGTTAAAGAACCACTCCAGGATTTTTAAACAGTAACCTTTGCAGTGGGGCTACTTCCACACTGCAAGGGTTAAGTGCCTGTTTTAAAAAACACTGCTTTAAGGAACCATTCACTCCAGGGTGGCAGCGTTTCAGCATGATTTATGAAAGGACATGTTTTGGGCGTTTTTAATTGCGTTTCAGAACTGAAACGCAAACAAAACGCCATAAAATGCACTGATCTGCACATTTCCATTGAGATCTATAAGGAAAATGAGCTGATCAGCGCGACAAAAGTAGCACGGGGGGCATTTTGGGTGGCAGACGTTTCTGATCGCGTGGATTTGCCCGCTTGCATGAACTGTTTCCATAGGAATGTATGGGATTGTTTATGTAGGCGTTTCAGCACGGCAAAATCCACGTGACCGAAATGCCCTGGTGTGAACGGAGCCTAAAGAACTTTTCTATATATAATAGTGAAAAATAACAAAAAAACACAAATCATATATATAACAAACCTTCAAATACAAAGTGCTTCAGTGTTATTTTGCACAAATGTAAACAAAGTAAATGTCCATAAATTAGTTACACACAAAAATTTGAATTCTAAACATAAAGTGTCCATTAGACTTGTGCGCCGTCAAAAAATTCGTTCTGTTTCGTTTCGGAATATCCGTTATTTCGTAATTCGTACGAAATACGAATTTTCGCTAGTGGCGGTTATATTTTCGTAACTTTACGCACATTCGTTATGAAGTTAAAAAGCAAAATACCTTTGTTAATATTGGAGTGGTAGTTTTTTTTTATCCGAAATACGAATTCCGTTAACGGATTCCGTATTCCGGACTTTAAAAAAAACTACCAGTAACTCCAATATAAATGTACTTTGCTTTTTACCTTCAATATAACGAATGTTCGTAATGGAACAAAAATACGTCAACGGAATTTCGTATTTACTGCCTGTATTTGTAATGCAACTCTCAGCAGCAGGAGAACCTCTGATTGGTCAACCAAAACGAAATACGAATTCCGTTAACGGATTCCGTATTCCAAATTCCGGACTTTAAAAAAAAAAACTACCATCAACTCCAATATAAATGTACTTTGCTTTTTACCTTCAATATAACGAATGTTCGTAACGGAACGAAAATACGTCAACGGAATTTCGTATTTCCTGCCTGTGTGTGTAACTGTGTATTGTAATGCATCAGCGGATCCGTATCTCAGATTAAAAAAAAAATCTTGTCATGTTCAACCTCATTTACAGGGGTAATATTAGTTCCTGTTTCAAAGAAATTCGGATCCGAAATTAGTTAACGGAATTTCGTATTTTGGATATAATTCGGAAACTGCCATTCAGATGCTCCGAAATTCGGAATTTCGATCGCAACGAAACGCACATGTCTAGTGTCCATAAAAGTCTAAACAATCTCTTAAAAGTACACCCAAAACGGTTGACTTCTTCCAAGAATGGTGCACCATTCACTGCTGAAGGATCAAGAATCAGGTCAGTATTTCTCCTTTATTTTTGACCCTAGATCAAAAAGTATATTTGACGTTTGGGATGAATATTTATAAACAATAGATAAATAACCAAGAAATGTAGACAATGCAGCACTCGGGCCTATGTCTGAAACATTGCTCACCTCCACTTCAACAATGCAGCATCCACAAACACGCTCAATTTTACTGACATCAGGATCTTCAGCCATCTTTGTCTGACCCAGCATAACACCTGTGCATGCAGGATGAACTCCAAGCTGTGAGATCCACTGTTCAAGAACAACCAAACGGCAGTTTTAAAATTTAGACCAGGAGACTAGATTTATCAGATGTCCAAAGTCCCTGTACCCACACCCAGGACTCTTCTCCAGCTTAAAATCCATAGTGAGGATCTTTCTGAAGACAATGGAAGGGGAACTTTCCCAACCCACCAAGCACAACTTGGTCTTCCGTACCAGAAGAATTGGTCTCTCCACGGAGTGACTTACCCCCACCCACAATGATGCGTTGTAGGGGTCTGGAGATAAAATTAGATTGCCTGAAAAGGCTGCCATCAGCCCCAGGAATCCCATTCAGAAGCAAAATCAGTTGACTCCTGGACTGAAGAGCACAAGTCTGGGAGTGGAGTGTGAATTAAATCTGGCTTCAGGACTGGATATTCTAAGCAATAAGCACCAGTCCCCACACTTATTTCTAAACACCCCAAGACCCGACCTCTGCAAGGTCTAGACAGCCAGAAATAGTCTGCCAACTGTTCATTCAGCAGGTTATCTTGATAGGCCACAATCAGAATGCTCCAGAAGATCAGTGAGGCTAGTATTGGGGGCCTACATTTCATAACACCTGGGGTGCAGACGCCAGCCAAATGCCAGGACCACAGACTGGAAGTGTAGAAGACCTGGAGCAAAACATAGAAATCCCCAGGGCACTGCAAAAATAAATATTGGGACATGTCCACAGAGAGCCTGTTATAGCTGGTGGATTCTATACAGAATTTGTGGGCCTGAAAGATGACTAACAGCATGGCGTAAAACCTGTTCTATCACAGGGACCAAGGCTGGCCATTCACTGCTCTATTTTAAAATATTACAACCTGCAGGCTGGAGAAAAAAATTATATAAAGCAGATTTCTCCATCGACACTACAAGTGTCAATAGAGGAATCCCCACCGTTTTGCATTCACAGTGGTCCCCCAGTTTCCTGTAAGAATACACAGCCTGCAGCTCAGTGGCTGCACGCTGTTTGAACAAAGGTTTTCCAACCAGCTAGACGAGGGATGCTGGCAGAAAGTGTACCAACAGCAGCACCCACTGTGTGAATTCAACCGGTTCTAGAACCAGCCAAAATTTGCACAGTATGGACACCACAAGATATCCTGCCCTGAAAGTAGATCTGCTAACCTGTAGTGACAGGCATGTTTGACATGAACTGGGGAGGAATCCAGAAACCTCCTGTACACAGGCTCCCCACATCAGTGCTCAACAGTTTCCAAGCCCTGGTCAGTGTGCCCCCAGTTACCAGCCATCTCACCTGAATGCTGCTCTTCAAATTTTTTTGCTGGGATGGCCTGCTCTGTAGAGAAAGTTCCCATGTGCTCTATGCGAGTCCAGGAGTGGTGAGTGTCTCCACCTTGATATCAGACTTAGTGCACAGCTGTGTAAGTGGGGACGGTGTGTGGAGCTGCAAGCAGTCTAACTAATTGACTACCAACCAAGTAGATTGAGAATAGAGCTGCAACGACTAATCACCTTATACTCTCCACCCAAGCATGATAGTAATCCGAGGAGTCAGTAATCACAGACCCCCCCTCCCCCCCACTTTGGGGGCACACAAGGCCTTGTAAGAAAGTTGAGAATCCCAACAATAACCCAGACTTCACTTGAAATGGCTGAGCTGGCAGAATAGAAAAGCTTTATTTCAGCCATGAACACTTGCCTTGTGCAGGATGCATGCTTGGCAACCAAAGGGTTAAATGCAAGAATCCTACACAATATTTTGAAACCACAGAATAAAGACTATGCAGAACTTCTTGACTCTTCAAATGTTCAAGTCTACCAAATAAAACCAGATTCCACAGACCTGTACACAAGATACAACACACAATAGTGGAATCTCAGCAAGTTTGTTTTTATTGTAAGTGCCCAGACAAAAGTACAGTGTTGTGTGTTTATTAGATCTTGTTAAAAGCAGCAACATCCATAGACTGCACAAAGTCTTCAAATGCTGTGATTTTCTCTTCTAGGACATCTGTGCCAACTTTGTCATCTTCCACAACACACTGGATTTGCAGTTTCTTTATCCCATAGCCCACAGGAACAAGCTTGGCTGGTTTAAAAAAAAAAAAAAAAGGAACACTATGTCAAGGCTATTTACAGTACAAGTCAGCAGTTTGTGTACATGCTTTCCCTCAATACAGGTTTGCTTTGGAACCCTAAACTTAATAGCAACCAATTTGTATCAAGTACAGTTAACCTTTCCCAACCCCCACCCAAAGTAATTTGCCTAAATCAAACAGCAACCCATAGGAATTCATAGTGCCTCTGGCTAAAATATTTTGCCCTGACCACACTTGCAGAGCAGAAACCTTTATAATCCTCCATGTGGCCACCTCCTAAACAGCTGCTGTATTAATAAATGTTAAACTTCTAAAGGCCATCTTTTCATTCAGGCCCCGTTCACACCTGGGCAATTGGTAGCGCGTTCCTACGCAAGCATCTGGGTGTGGTGGGCAAAGGCAAAACACTTTCTATGAAAGTACAGTTGGCCTTTAAAGTAAGCTTTGCCTGAGAGATGCAAAGGCTTTCATTGCAGACCTTTTTTTAAAATGCTGGCTTCAATAGCATCTGAACCACTGAATGAAGTATGCAAATCAAAGTCATTAATATGGCAAAATGGCTTTATATGCAAAGTTGGGCCAAATCACAGATGCAATTTAAGCCAGAGGGACAGTATGACAACCTTCATGTTTCTTATGAAAAGAAAAAGTGACCCAACCAGCCATTTTAAGGTTTGTTGTGCCTACCACAACGTTCTGACCACTAACTTATCCTGAAAGCCCCCCTTTGACCCTAGCTTCAGTGTTACTAGGGGACCTCAAGAGTAAGCCTGGATACTGCAGACCAGTGACCCGCTTCATATTGTATATAAAAGTCTGCTATTAAAGTGTAAGCTGCATGAGGGCCATGATTGTAGGCTTCCTGAAAAAGGCTAGTCAGGCCCAGAATAAAAATGCTGTAAATTAGCATCAGCACTACTCTTCACTTGGTTCCACATCAGCTTACACTGAGTGTTAAAGGTTAAAAAAAAATATAGAATGACAAAACATTCTTAATGGAGAGTCTAGTAATGGCAGCCTCCATTGATCTTTCATGATGGTAGCAGTTTATCAGGTGCAAATGTTCAGGAGCAGAGCATTTTGTTCAGTGTGGGTCACATTGGAGGGCCTTAAACCTTCACAAACCTCTACTATTTTCAGCAAGGCACAGAGGGGTAAGCTAGCAAAGGTCTTCCAACAGCCAACTCTAATCCAAGTGCTGAAAAAGGCCTCTTAGACGTGTCCTTAATCAAGTGGAATCCCTTCAGAAGGGAACACAACATTTTAGCAATATGTTGAGGCCTCTTCTGGTGTATACATATTGGCAGCACTATTACAAGTTTAGAAATGTATCCAACATTTCCTTCTGAATTCTGGAGAGCCTCAACCAGGCCACCACAATTACTTCTTGTGCCTCATTTCCCCATTTACAACCCTTTCAGAAAACGGTGGCAAATCAGAATATAAAAACGATCCATCATGTATATCAGCCGAAAGATGGTGATGTTTTAATCATCATATAAGCCACCATTGTTATGCTCAACACAGACATTAACATACTTACACGACCCCCAGAGCAAGCCATCCATCTGAATACTTCGAACAAATTCTTCCAATTTTGCCATGTCTGTCTCATCATCCCACGGTTTCACGTCAAGCAGGAGGGACGATTTAGCAATAAGTGCCGGCTCTGCAACAAAGAGACTGTTAAAAGCTCATGTTAAAACGACAGCCTGAAAACGTTAGAGTCCCCTAATTGGTTTGTTTTTTAGGTTATGATCTTTAGAGGTTATTAGGTCACATTTTTAAATAGCATTTTGAAGCTAGTCGCCTTAAAAAAATCATCCACCTAAAAGTTATAAAAAAATCAAGCTAGTTTGAGTACATATCTGCATAAGGCATGCCTCCAATGGATACAAGCCATGGTGTAGATTACCATTACTACACTCCTGCTGAAGCAGCTCAACTGATTTGAGAAACACCAGGAATTTATCAAAACGGTAGCAGACAGAATCAGGAGCAGTTGCCCATAGCAATCAGCTGCTCAGTTTCTTCAAATAAGCTGAAAATGAAAAAAGCTGACTGGTTGCTATGCACAGCTCCAGATTCTGATGAATCCCCTCAGTGCTCCCCTTACTGGGTCATCTAAACTAACAACTATCCAAAAGTGAAGCAAACCTTTGCATGGAGTGTCAAGTGAGAGATGGAAGAGATTCAAAAGATCAGTCATACTTTATGCACTGTTATAAACATTTCTCAATAAAGGCTTTATGGTTTTAACAAAATTGTTGTAAAGTTAATCATTGTAGCACCTTAAAATCCCCATCTTGCTTTGTTCTTATAGGGACGTGGTGGCACCACAACATTGCTGGTTCAAAGATGCATATTAGACTTGGTGTATATTAAGGCCTCATTGTCACATGTGTTGACACCACTCCACCGCTATGTGAACAGCACAATTAATGGAACCCCAATGTACTGTGCTGCAGAAGTCAAAGCACCACAACACGTGCCTTGTTGGATCTGTGGCAGCACAAGTTCAGCAATCAGTTGTGGTGCATTACATAGTTTAAGGGCAAATACTCCCAGAAAGATATCAAACCTTTTACAATTGCAGTCAATGGCAGACATTACTAGAAGTCTTACAACTCTGGGTTTAAATCTGTATAAAAATGTTCGTGTCAGAGAGCACCCCATTCAGAGTAACTGAGGGGAAATCTCTGCTAAACACCTTACTCTGCCACAGGAGGAATACTGGAACTGCGACAGAGCCACACAATTCCAGACCAGTTTCTGTGGCTATAGGTCTGTTGCAATTTCAAAGTTACAAGTTCAAGATTTCTAGAAATCACAGACTACTCACTTTTGGATTTCTTTGATTCGTACTGTGCCAGGCGTTGCTCTCGGATCCTTTTTGACTCTTCACTTTCCTGTGGGAGAAGATAAACAATGAAACAAAGATGGCCACTTGTCAATGCTCACAATCTCCTACTTGTTAGACTGGTGTCAGAATAGAATGTGTGCATCACATCTCAGCCGAAAGATGGTGTTAAATTCATCATATCACCAGCCTGCAAGTGCTAGCCCATTTGTTCTGAACACTAGCTGAAATCAATTTGGAAAATATATACATTATCTTCATGTTTCTGCAGTGGAGAAATGCTAATTACAATCACCAAGCATGCCTTCAGGAAGCTTAGAGGGAACCCGTCAGGATAGAGTTCAACAGGAATTGCCATCTCCCATCTTTTCTTGATGCAGAAACTGTTCCTGTCCTTTAATGATTATCATGGGGAACAGGCTGCAGGAACATATATGCAGCAGTCTCCAAAAAACTCCACAAGCCCAGCAGTCAATGAAGCTTCCAGGTAGTTGGAGCTTGCTGCAAGGCACCATGCTCCTATTAGCCCATCACTATAAAGGGCAACCTCAGTGGCTAATGCAAAATGTGCAGTATCAAGCATTCAGTGCCATCAATGCCAAAGATTTGCACATCAAAACAGTAGGCTGCTGCAAACCTGTACAGGTACCACTAGGTGCCTCACTTTATATCTGCAGCTGTCTTATTCACAGAACAGCCTCTAGTCTTGCTCTACTGCCTAGTAGATGACTAGCGACAAGTACAGGGCTAGCAAACGTAAAAAAACAACATTCATGGTTGATCCAAAGACTAGTATAAACTCCATCAATTTAAAAAAAACAGCAATAGCAGCTTACATATTCTTCCCAACAGGCTCCTTTAACCACCACATACTGTTACTGGATCTGTCAGCTCCAAGCATAGCAACAGCAAACACTATTACACTGAAAGTTTCTTGAAAATTTACCTCTTCTTCATCTGAGCCAAACAAGTCAATGTCATCATCGTCATCTTCCTTAGCCTCCTTAGGTGCACTGTCTGTTGTGTCTTCAATATTCACTGGGCCATATTTTCCCAAGGGTTTCTTCACTCCCGGTAAACTGTGAGCAGACGTACAAAGTCAGTTTAAGAATGTAAAGCTTAAAATCTGGACTAAGGGCCCGTTTTACACCACTTCCAGTGGGTTCCAGCAACTAACTATGCTGGATTGCATACGCTGAAGGCTCCCTGTATTCACTGGCACAGCAGAAATACGCCTTCCTCCGCATTGCAGTCGCCCGCACCAGAACAGTTGGCCCGCATTTCTGTCAAGTGCAATCGCAAAGGAATAGTGCTTGTACCATTTTTTTGGGATTCGCAATGGACCAAAATGAGGGCATTGCTGTGCCACGCATTCTGGTGCAGGCAACTGCACTGCCATTGACTTGAAATCACTGCCACACCCCATCCTGCCCCAGAACACAGCCTTCAGAGAACCCCATTTCAAAGAGTTTCAGCATGCTGGAATGCACTGAAAGTGGTGTGAACAGGCCCTAAAGAGCCAAGAAACTAGCACAAGTCCTGCTCATTCTGCACAGAACCTGAACTTTCAATTCCAGTCACACTGCAATACACATTTGTCGGAGGGAGGGAGGAAGGTTCATTACACACCTGGCTTTTTGCTTCTCGTATGATCTGATGTGGTTATACCAGCGTAAAGCATGGCACAGCTCAGCGGGGGGTGCTCCTGAGAGAGCCTCAAATACTGCCACATCAGCTTGGGAGGGAACATACCTAAGGAAGAAAAAAAACATCCTGGTTATACATACAAATACACAATGCTTAATCATAATTGAGACCAACTTTCAAGAACATCTGGCTTAAAAACTGCTTAACATCTGCCCAAAACATGTGCTGCATATGTCTGTGAAGGTTCTCATTCATCCAGGTCATGGTATATCTGTAAACAAATAAGTCAAGGCAACTGGACTTGCTGTATATTTCTTTATGACGTTTCACTGGTCATCCAACCAGCTTTCTAAATTTGAAATTTCTTTAGAATGCTGGTCGGCTATCCAGTGAAACATCAAGAAATATACAAGTCCAGTTACCATAACTTTTTTACAGATGTCTTGGACGTAGCTCCTGCAGCATGGCAACACGTCATCTAAAGCAAGAGATGTTCAAGTGTAAGCAGGCAGAAATAGATTTTGCACAATATGCATTAGAGTTACAAAAAAAATTTGACACCATAGTACGCACATTGTAATTGTGCAACACTAAGGGGTTAGATTATAAAACTTCCATCCAGCATACCCACCACTAGATGGCACACAGGACATTCTGGCCTGCTTTGACTTGCACAGATAGGGCCCATACATACCAGCAAACCACTAATCACACATTCACAATTATACGGTTTACTTTCCTAGTTAGAACTTCTTCAAATGTCATGAGGGGCATTTTATTACATTCTATCAGCACAGTGCAACGCACAGGGGTTGTACCAGGTCACACTGCACAGAAAGTACTGCACGCCATGATATTTTCCAATGCAACAGTGATGTGAACTGAGCTACATGAAGAAAAAATTGCCATGCGTGTGCATTAGGAAAAGCATCGGCTGTAACCAGATCACACAGGACAACATACATGGCATTATTAAGATGTTTAACTGAATTAAACTACATCTCAGGAAATTCTTAGCATACACTGTACAATCGCCTTTAAATCTACAATCATGTAATGGAAGTCTGCCTTAAAACAAAATGAATGGATTGTCTGTCCTCAAATCATTTTGGTAGACCTAAATAAAACTAAACAGATCTTGCACGATCACATCATACAGCGTAAGCCAGGTTTAGTCTGATCACAGGGGACCGGATGTGTGTTGCACAGGAAAAGGCCGCAGTGATCATTGATGTAATAACACAATGAGGCCTCTCCGTGTGATCCCAGCACAGGCCTCACGCCACGTGTCCCCGGCTCAGGCCTCTCCTACAATCAATAAACAGGGCTATGACCCCTATAGCAGGAGCCGGGCCCACACCGGCCTGACCCCCGTGTACAACCACTAACATTGAAAACATTGAAACACTAGCAGAAAAGGCGACACGTATACCATCCCAACCCCCACAATAGAGTACAGGCTGCAGTGAGCGAGCCCCCCCATTACTGCACAGGGCGATATTTACTTCTCTCACTGACCCCTCGATGTAGCTCTTATCAGCCAGAAATTCATTCAAGACCTTGAGGCCGGCGTTGGATTTGAGATCTCCGAAACCCATTGCAGCACCTTAATACACAACACCGGCGTGGAAGAAAGAGAACGTGAAACAGCTCACCATTGGTTTTATACACGTGACGTCTCCGCATGAACGTCATTCAGGGCGGAGCTACGTGGATAGTCGCCGCCTTCAGGGAATGGAGGTTACTAACGCCATCTTTATTAAGGGATCTGCCTTCTCTCTCTAACTTTTGTTATGCTGTCCCTGCGCTTTGTTTTCACATGTGCAGCTTATAGACTACTCGTGTGGATGAGTTTACAGCAAATTGTCTTCAATGTAGGTGATGGGGCTGATATTGTTTCCGGAAATTGCCGAAGGTGTTCCGAAAACAGTCGAGAGGCTGGGACTGCTTCCGATTGGTCCAGAGCTTCTTTCCGAAGATTGCCGAGTCCTCCATATTGGTTAATAGTGGGGACAGGGGACGCTGTTGTGGTCTAGAAGGCCAAATAGCCGGAGAGTCCTAAAGGGGCGGCTGTGGGGTGAGTGAGGGGCAGTGGGGTGTTGTGAAGTTCCTGGGCAGTCTATGGCGAAGAGGGCGGGGGGCCTGGCCTGTGTGTGGCTGGAGTTGAAGGGTGACTCTCATGTCCTTGACAGCTCCGACTGTGAATAGAGCTGCGCGGCCACCGACTCCTCTGATCCGGTGGACACACAGCACTTCTACACATGGGCACATAGTAGTCTTATCCTTATGAAGGTTCCTCGTTCATGCAGTACACCAATCAGGTCGTGCGATGGTTTGACCTATTATTACTATATAAACAAATACAACTAGTTACAGCTGAACTCCTGGTGGATATAAAAATACAACTTAAAGGCATAGTCTACCTATTAAAGAAATAATTATAAATGCACATGCATTGATGACAGAAGAAATATGCATGTATTAATATCTTGCATTTGGGCCTGCACTGCATTAAACTGTGATCAGTGCGTAGCAGGTGCAATGCTCTGTCTCTTGCAGACTATTTCCCCAGCCACCCCTCTAGACAGCTTCATATTTAATTGACAATGCATTAAAACTGGGATCAGTGTATAGTAGGTGCAATGCTCTGTCTCCTGCAGACTATTCCCCCAGCCACCCCACTAGACTGCTTCATATTTAATTGGCAATAATAATGCTAACATAAGCCTAAAGTTTGATAAACATTTTGTTATGCACAAATCTATCTACTGCAAAAAAGCGATCAGAAATTAAGAGAAAGCACTATTATTTAACACTCCATTATTTTGTTTTCTTTCAGCACAATGCTGCGACTGCCTATAATTCAGAGGGCTCTAGCAAGTGCTGCCCAAGTGACTAAAAATAATGGTAAGCCTGTGTGTCTTTTTTTTTCCCCATATGTACGCAACAACGTATAATCATAAGAATTCATGGACTCAGAAGGTAACTTAAAGTTAGGGATGAACCGAAATTGAGTTTTTAGACTGAAACAAATAACGAAAATGAAAAGGTTGTCACGCCAAAACCAAAAATGAAGTTTTTTTTCCCTCTCAACCTGTAAAAAAAAATATAATATATATATTTTTATTTACTTTACTGGTGGGGGCTCTGGGGAAATATCACAGGTCTAAACGGACCCCTGATATTTACCTTTTTTAAAATAGAAAAAGAGATTGTGGACACAGCTTCAGCACTTAATGAAAAGGAAGCCTCTATACTGAGTGTTCTTGTCCATTCATACATTGTGGATATGGTGTAAGTTACTATGTCCACAAATATGAATGAACAGGAAGTGATGTAGAGCACTTCGTTTTCATCTATAACTGGGGACCCAGTAAGCATGCGATATGCTAAAATATTCAAAAACCCTCAGCAATCAGTCCTGATCGCTGAGCACTTGCACTTTGCTCTCCATTCTGACTCGCCTGGCACAGGAGGCCGAGCAGGGCGGTGTGGGAGGGGAGCTCGGCCTCCTGTCACAGCTGACGGCTGTCTCTTCCCCGCACCGCCGCACTTGGCTTCCTAAAAGCTTCTCTTCTCCCTGCTGGGTGCCTGTCTGTGTCCCCTCGGATCCCCTACCTCTGCCGAGACAGGCGGGGGAGAGCAGCAAGCATCGGAGGGGACACAGACTGACAGGGAAGAGAGAAGCTAGGGATGCGCTGAATTTTCGGCCATTATGGTACTTTAGGCATTTTGCTCAAAGTATTATTTTTGGCTGAAATTTCTGTGCATCCCTACTTAAAGTGACAATAAACCAGGGGTGTCAAATCCAAACTTGCAAAGGGCCATGCCGAGGGTTGTGAATAAAATCGGGCTGGACATGAGGAAGAAAAAAAATAATAATTATATGACAGTCCTGGCGTCCTGTGTGTGAAGGCACAACAAGTGTCTGCAGTCCCTGTCCATTCTATGACACCCCTGTGTATTAGGGCACATTAAATGGACAGGGACCGCTGACACTTGTAGTGCCCCCACACACAGTCAGTCCCAGATACCAGTAGCTGCAGGTTCCTCCGCACCAGAGACCAGAGGTGCGGAGGAACCTGCTGAGGAGCAACCTGCAGAGCCTCGAGCTGCGTGGTCCTCAGGGCCTGTTCACATGAGATCAGGTGCGGATCTGCAGACTGATGCAGTGCGTTTTGGTCGCGTTTTTGATGGAGTGGGGGCTGTTAGTATGTTAGCTGAAGTGCAGTGCGTTTTTAATGCGTTTTTGACGCGTTTGCGTTTCCGGACCGTTTCCTGACCGTACAAAATGACATGCATGCAGTATTTTTTCTGTCGTAAGCTGAACGGACTGCGCACATGCAGGTTCCTCCGCACCAGAGACCAGAGGTGCGGAGGAACCTGCTGAGGAGCAACCTGCAGAGCCTCGAGCTGCGTGGTCCTCAGGGCCTGTTCACATGAGATCAGGTGCGGATCTGCAGACTGATGCAGTGCGTTTTGGTCGCGTTTTTGATGCGTTCCAGTAAAAGTGGAGTGGGGATGTTAGTATGTTAGCTGCAGTGCAGTGCGTTTTTGATGCGTTTGCGTTTCCTGACCGTACAAAATGTGACATGCAGTATTTTTCTGTCGTAACCTGAACGGACTGCGCACGTGAGAACTGTAGCCGATAAAACACATAGGGATACATTGGGATGCATTTTGAGTGCAGCAGCGTACGGATCCGGTCAGCACACAAAACGGACGTCGTGTGAACAGGCCCTCAGAGGGAGCTGCGTGGTCCTCAGCGGGCAGCCGGCTGAATTTCTGCTCCAAGCACAGGCTTGCTGAAAATAAATAAACAAATAATACCCTGCTTGCTGGTACACAGCGCAGGACTGGTGGGCCATTTAGGACAAAACTGAGTGGTATTTGTTGTATAATTTCTGGTTAATCATTAAGGCTTCTATTTTTGTCCTCCTTTTTTATTGAGCAATTTTATATCGTCTTTATTGCTATCATGTTAATTGCATTTCTTCCTATGTGTTTCAGTACGAACAACCACCACAGCTGCAAGCAACCTGTTAGAGGTTTTTGTAGATGGCAAACCCATAATGGTTGAGCCTGGCACCACAGTGCTACAGGTAATGTGTGCTTTTAGGTTTCCTTGTGCCTTTTATCGTTGTAAAACATTGTAGCATTGCAGTAGAGCAAATTACTTCAAGTTTTATATTAACAATATTTAAAATAGAGTTGACATTTTAGAGATTAGCCGTAATAGCCTCCCCCTCCAAATCATGTAATTTAAAGTGGAACTCTAGGAATGATCGTTTATGAATACGTGCATTAGTTCAGTGTAGGTATCCATACAACCCCCCTCTGTCAATCCCTCCACTGGCTTCCACTCGCCCAAAGGATAAAATTAAAAATATTAACAATCACTCATAAAGCCATCCACAACTCTTACCCCGGCTATATCTCAAACCTTGTCTCAAAGTATCATCCTAACCGTCCCCTCCGCTCCTCCCAAGACCTCCTGCTTTCCAGCTCCCTCGTCAACTCCTCCCATACTTGCCTCCAGGACTTCTCTAGAGTCTGTCCCATCTTCTGGAACTCTTTACCCCAACCTTTCCGTCTGTCTCCCACCTTTACTGCCTCTAGGCGTTCCCTAAAGACTCATCTTTTCAGGGAATCCCACATCAACCTAACCGTTCAGCCATCACGTTCTCAACATTTCATCCCCACACAGCTACCTCCTCATGTATCACTTGCCCCTCCCTATTAGATTGTAATCCCTCAGGGGCAGGGCCCTCCTCACCATCTTGTCTTGAATTGTATTGTAATGTCTTCCTTATATTGTAAAGTGCTGTGCAAACTGTTGGCGCTATATAAATCCTGTATTATAATAATATCTGATATCCGGAGGGATGCTGGAAATGACTGTAGTGGCCTGCGCTACATACACTGATGGCTGGTCTTGTCCGGCTGCTGCTTCAGTGTTTTCCCCTCTGCACACTGACCACAAGGAGTTGCTCACTGGGCGCTGCTGCCATATAGAGAATGCCCTGTATTTTTCCAGGGACTACAAGGTTTTCTTTGATTGGACAAGTTGGAGAGGAGGAGTGAATGGCGTCACAATCCACCTTGTAGAATCAAAGAACTCCTTGTATTCAATAGAAAAATGACAAGGAGTTCAACAAGCAGGTCCATGTGCAGAGCTGCTCTGAAAGAGACCAGCTATCTCTAGTGCAGACTACTTGAGTCATTTTCAGCACCTCCAGATGCCAGATATACAGGGCTTGAAAAATCCACTCGTCCGCTTGTCTGTGATGAGAGGACAGCGGAGCCCGACGAGCAGCTTCCCGGCCGGCCGTTGTAATTACACGGCCGGCCGGGAGCTTTACATTCAAGCGACTGGGCGTCTCTAGAGACGCTCGATCGCTTGTATTAGCAGCTGTCACTGCCGTTGTCAGTCCCGAGATCCGCTGTGCCCGATGCGGCCGGGACCGCACGGCTCTGTGACAGGAAATCAAAGGGAGTTCAGTATACGAACTCCCTTTGATCTCCTCTCAGTCCCCGAATGCAGGAAGTGATGTATATTACATCACTTCCTGCATTCAGTGTCACTCTCCAGCTACAGAAGCTGATGAAGCCGATATCTACTTCATCAGCTTCTCTGGGGGTCACTAGGTGACATTAGGGGTCTTGGAGACCCCTGATGTCTCCATAAAGAAGACCTGCCATGTAAATTGGCTATCACATAGGGGGATTCTTAGCCCCCCATGTAATAGCAATAAAGTTGAGTGGAAAAAAAAAAAAGTAATACTAAAATTAAAGAATCATAAAACAATAAAGAAGCATTAAATAAATACAAAAGAAAACTTTCCCAAGTCCCCATCCCCCACATACACACGCAGATTCGGGTGCGCCTACGTGCGAAAACGGAATGAGAGCAATAATTTTAGAGCCATTAATCACCGATAACACTAAACTGATGAGCAGTAAAAGCGTTTTAATTGTCGCCTATGGGCGTTTTTTGCGGGCGCACGCAATTTTAAAGCTTGACACGTTTGGTGTCTATTTACTCGACGTGACCCCGACTTTTATGTTTTACTAAAAATATGGGTAAGAATAAATGTTTTATAACATAACGTAGGGAAACTTTGTTTTTTTTCAACTTTTATGGTACTTTTTTCATTATATAGAAAAAAACACCCCGCCCCCAGTGGTGATTATATACCTCCAAAAGATACCTCTATCTGTCCCCAAAAAAGTTTTAACATAGATTGCAAGGCTATAGTCCGGTCATGCTGACTGGTGAAATTTTTGACTGACTGGTGAGACGCCATCATATTTTTTAAGCCCTGCAGATATAGATACATATACCAATGCAAGTATCCATAAAAGATAATTCCTGGAATTCAACTTCATGATATATAAACACAGGCATAAGATCATACATATAATCTAATAAAAACAATAATTTAAAAAAAAGATCATGCATATGTGTGGACCTCTGCTCTGCAGGCCTGGAAACATCTTCCATCTTCTACTGACCGGCACCTTGCAGTGTCCTGTGCATACACCAGTTATAACAGATGCAATTTACCATATAACAGTACAGCACAACCTGCAACTAGTGGGGGATGGAAGAAGCGATCAGAACCTGGGTGGGCCACAGCGCTGAGGACTGCATGAAGACTTGATGTGGAATTTATGTTTTTGTATGATATGAAAGGATTGGGGCATTCAAACATGCAATATGTTTAATGTAATTTCCACATGAAATGTTGCACCATTTATGGACGCTTTTCATATTTTATTTTTTAAATCAGATAATTTGTATTAAGTTTTTCTTTAAACAAACAACATAGGAAAAAACATGTATAAATATATAACAACAAATATAAATACAGAAAGAACCAAAACCAATACCAAAAAAGAAAGAAAGGGTGGAAACCCCACATACACCATATGTACATATCGATAAAACAATATCCAGGAACTAACTACTTTTGGTCAGATCTCCTAGACATATATAAACATATACAATGCTAATATAACTAAAAAAGAAACCGAGAGATTTGGACCTGGATTAGTCAAATGTATATCTTAAACTCGCATATACGACCCTCATATGTCCAGATAGCTCTTCATGTTTTAATTGATAGAATATTTGCTCTCCTGTTGCGTTGTCCAGCTTGCAGGAAAAAAAGATCTATTCCAAGTGTGGGCTAGGCTAGGATGTAATGGTGAGATCCCACTGCAGACGTACCCAAGAGATAGCCAGTGCAGGAGTCACCCCACCAGTTTCCACCTAGATCTCTTATATTGTTACTTTCCATAACTGGTTAATGATCATTTTACACACTTTAAATAAAAATGAGGTTTTTTTTCTGGAAATTTGTAAACTATATATAGATTTATATACTTTTTCTTTTCACTGGTCTCATTCCAAATTAAAAATAATCATCATTTTAAATCCTTAAAGTGTTTTTCTCTTTTTTTTTTTTTTTTCTTCTGCCAGTTTTGTCTATAGTGTGTGTGTGTATGTATGTGTTAGATAGATAGATAGATAGATAGATAGATATGTATGTGTTAGATAGATATATATATTAGGGCTGGTAATGATTAAAATTTTCCTGTTCGATTAATCGAAATTCTTTTTAATTGATTAATTTCGATTAATTATAACGCACATACAGATCCAACTACATTGGCCTATACACAAACAGCACAGCAATGAAGTAATAAAATGAACTAGGATCACACTAATCCAGCACGTTATTAATCTCACGTGCCCCACTCAATATGGCCGCCGCTTGAGTGGGGCAACTCAGAATAATAACGTGCTGGATTAGTGTGATCCTAGTTCATTTTATTACTTTATTGCTGTGCTGTATGTGTATAGGCCAATGCCAGGGATCCTAACCTGAAATAAGCAATTTCAGGGAGGTGCCCTCTCCCCCCCCCTATCCGCGGAGGGGGGGCTGGGAGAGAGCACCCCTCTAAAATGATGGCAGATCGCACAGGAAGCAATAGCTTCTTTGCTATCTGCAGACTTTTTTTTTTTTTTCAGTATTCTGCCAGTTGCAGTTGTCAGAATAAAAAAAAAAAGGCTTAAGATTGCATAGCTAGATTCCTATTGGCTATTTCACTTTGCAATAGCCAATAGCAAACTAGCTATTGCACCCGCCCCCTGCTGCTTTCAATCACCAGAAGAGGACCTGATAGAAAAATTCAGGTCCCCCTCTGCTGATTGACAGCAGCAGTGGGCGGGTGTATTAGCTAGTTTGCTATTGGCTATTGCAAAGTGCAATAGCCAATAGGAATCTAGCTATGCAATCGTATGCCTTTTTTTTCTTTTCTGACTGACGGTCAGGCCACGGCTCCTGATGTCAGAAAAGAAAGAAAAAAAACGATCGCAGGGAAAGGTTTAATCTGCTCAATTGAGCAGATTAAACCTTTCCGGTACAAAGTGTTTCTCTCCCGGGCGTCCGGGAGAGTTGGGATGTGTACTCACCGGCCCAAGCGGCTCCATCGGGTAACGAAGGGAAGGGGGAGGAGTCCAGTGACGTCACGGACATCGACGTCACCGGACTCCTCCCCCCTTCCCTTCGTTAGCCGACTGCCACTTGGGGAAGGGGGCAGGAGTCAGGTGACGTCGATGTCCGTGACATCACCGGATCTCCGACAGAAGCTGGCGGAGAGGTGAGTACGGATCAAAAGAACTTTGATCAAAAAAATTTACGATTAATCGAGGGATTAATCGTTAATTTCCGCAGCCCTAATATATATGTATATAATGTATATAATCTTGAATTTCTAGTTAACCTGTATTTTAGGATTTTTTTTCTTACAATAGCTATGCATTTGTAATGGGTTCTTTTTTTGTTTTTAGGCTTGTGAAAAAGTGGGTGTTCAGATACCTCGATTTTGCTACCATGAGCGTTTGTCAGTAGCTGGGAACTGTCGCATGTGTCTAGTGGAAATCGAGAAAGCCCCCAAGGTCTTTATTACCATACCTTCAGTGTAAATGATGTACAATTTGTATAGTTTTGTCACTTATCTAACTTGTGGTAGTTTGAAAGGACTTTGCATATATTTTTAATTATGATCGTGACTAAAAAGTAAAGTATTTTTTTTTTCACTCCAGTAGATACAAAATATTACACATAAAATTGTAACATTTTCATTTCCAGCCGGTTAGCTCCATGGTCTCCTTTTTCACATATTTCTCTGACTGTCTTTCACCTGCTTTGAAAAAACAAGCTGGCAAACTCAATAGCTTAAGCTGAAATTTACACACGCACAACTAAATAAATCACAACAGTAATGTATCCCCCTCCTTCCCGCTGTGTTTAAGTTCCTGTAAGACCGAGATCTCATACAGTCCAACCGCTACTTCTATAAACTCTTTAGGTCACCCATAAAAAATATATAAACCTCAGAAAAATGTTTGCTTTATTTCAGCTTTTTTGTCTTTACAGCCTGTAGCTGCTTGTGCTATGCCAGTGATGAAAGGCTGGAACATACTTACTAACTCTGAAAAGAGCAGGAAAGCAAGGTATGTAAACCCCTAAATACATGATCTAGCACTTGTGCAATTCACAAAGCCATTGTCAGCCAAATATATATGAGGGAGCTATCTGCCAAATGGCTTGTATTTCTGTCCATCCAGTTTTGAGATATACACACAGTGCTGCCTCACAGCACCACCAGGTGGATAACACAGCTTTCCTTGTTACGGTTTTAGTCTGTAGAAGAAATACAGTGGTGTGCTCTCTCTCCTTAACCCCAGCCTGCTGACTAAAATAGCAGCAGCAGACTAATTAAGTTATCTCTCTGTTCATTCTGCTTTCCCCTCTTATAAGCATGTTCCTTATTGGTGCATTTGCCTTCAGCACACCCAATTGGCTTCTAGTCTTGCCCTTACTTTCCCAATGTGACTTCTGCTGTACAGAAGATTCCCAAAGGCTGATACAAGGTCAAATTCAATTACTTGCAGTAACTGCATTATACAAAAAAATAAAATGTATATATTTTTTTAAAGATAAACTTTGTGGGAAACCTAAAGTTACCCTTAGTGTAACTCGCCCAGAACTGTAAGGGTTAAATGCTCATTTTGTCTTGGGTTCCATTAAAAAGAGGTTTCACTGTCTTCTCCCTCGCTCCTGTGAGTTTCCTCCTCCCCGTACAATCAGACCCCTGAGTCATTTGCATAGTGATGTCATCGTGTACAATGCTGGACCAGCAGTACTGCATTGTAAGTGACGACACCGTGGGCCCTCCACAACCTGGAGCGTCTGAGAGAAGAGAGCGCCAGCTGCAGCGGGAGTGGAGGGTAGGGTAAAGGTGGCTATACACTTTACAACCATCGCAAGACCTCAGTCTTGCGATGGTTGTAAAGTAATTTAAAAAAACGTACAATCTGCCCATCTTGGACAGGCAGATCGTACTTGCGATGACCGCAATGCTGAACGGGCAGTGTGCGCATGTGCGCACACCGGCCCGTTCGGCATTTGTCTCCCGAGCACCGTTCAAACGATTTTCGGCTGGTTTTCTAGCGTGCTCCTTAGACAAAAGACGTGCGATCGTACAGTAGAAACAGTCGCACGTCTTCATTTACACTACACGATTCTCGTACGATCGCGGGATTTCCCACGATTCTCGCCCGATTCTCGTACGAGAATCGTGCAGTGTATGGGCACCTTAACTTAAACTTCTTTTTACTGTTCCCTTTAGACAAAAACAAGCATTTAACCTTTGCAGTGCTGGAGAACCCTACTGTAAGAGTAACTTTAGATTTTTCTCGGATTTCAGCTTTAGTGAGTTATCAGTTGTACAGAGCTGCATTAAAGGAGAACTATGGGGTACACGTTTTTTTTGCATTTTTAGTTTCCTTATGATAAAGAAATACATTTTTCAATGTACTCCTGTAATCAAAAATGCACCATAAGCTTGCAATTCAATTCAATATAATATACTGGGGGCGGGGCTAAGCTCTGTGCTGAGAAGCTATCCCGACAATATTGTCGGGTCGCTCCTCTCCCTCCCATTGAGTGACAGCAGCTTGTAGGAGCTGCTGCACATTCATGAGAACCCCTGCAGGTGCAGCTCAGGGCACGTCCTATCTGAGTTTATTCATGCCAGGTCACTGACATGAACATCCTTCCTGCAGTTTCTTTTATTCCCCCTCTTGTCCCCTTCACACTGTTATCTCCTGACAATACAAATACAACATCAGCACTAAGACAGTCAGTTCATTAAGCCCTCCTCCCCTCTGCTGTCTTGGGACATACACAAGGAGAAGAAGAGATAAAGACAACAGAGTGAAGGAGAGGGGGGGGCAAGGACAAAGCTGAACTGACAGGTCTTAGTGCCAATGTTTATGTGTATTGTCTAGAGAGAGCAGGAAGACGAACTGCAGGATGGATGTGCAAGTATTAACTCTGATAGTATGTGCCCTGAGCTGCTGCGCTTTACAGGTTCTTATGAGGATCCAGACAGTATATTGTTGGGATCACTTCTCAGCACAGAGCTTAGCCCCGCCCCCAGTATATTACACTGAATTGTAAGCTTATGGTGCATTTTGTATTACAACAGTACATTGCAAAATATATTCCTGTATCATAAGGAAACTACAAATGCAATAAAAAGGTGTACCCCATAGTTCTCCTTTAATTTGTGTCTTTTATATCTGCCTGGAGTTCAACTTTAAATACGTTTTATTGAAAGAAACTACAAATATTACATTTGTGTCCAAAGCTAAGAATGACTTGCTAATATTTAAATTGAACTTTTGATTAAACTAGGGAAGGAGTAATGGAGTTCTTGCTTGCAAACCACCCACTGGACTGTCCCATTTGTGATCAAGGAGGGGAATGTGATCTGCAGGTAAATGAAAACATGTAGCTTCAGATGGGTAACTATTATTTAGAACAATCCTCCTTGAATATGTATATGTGGCATGTCAAGCTCTGAATACAATTGCAAAGTTAGGGGAAACTATACTGTATATCCAGTGAAATATTTTGATTTATTGCAATGTGATTTGTAAAGTAATTGTAAATTCAAACAAATTACAATATAATTAGATTTTCACCATTTTCTTTTATCCCTTTGTATCTTGTTGCTGATTTCCTGCAGCCTCTGTTCTACACCTTTCTACATGCACTCCATAGATAGCTGCATGGCATTTCTCAGGACTGGTTTCCTGATGGTGACAACAGTGGACCATGGCTGCATAGAGTGTGCTGAAACTGCCTGTTGTAGTCTCCATCAGAAACCTGTGTGATGTGTATTTTAATTAAAGCTGCAATAGATTTTATTATATTAAAAATTACTTTAACATTTTAGAGCTTGCAAGACATTTTAGTAATGGGGTATACATATCCTTTATAATCATTTTTAGCAACGTTTTTTTTTTTTTAATGGTATTTAATATAGGTAATTGTGGATTACACAATGGACTGATCTCTGTATTTGAGCTACATTAAAGTTCTCGCCTTAACCACAGCTGAGATCAGGCCCGGATTTCCCACAAGGCCACCGAGGCCCGGCAGAGGGCGGCAGCGGTGACCTTGTGGGAAGTTGCGGGCTCCGGTGTAAGGTGTCCGCCGGCCGCAAACTACGGAGCCGGTGGGCGGAGCCTCGGGCCGCCCC